GCCAGCTGCTGCTGCCGCCGCTGCAGAGCAGCAGCAGCAGCAAGAGACTGCTGCTGCCTCAGAGGCAGAGCAGCAGCAGCAGCAAGAGGCCGGAGCTGCTGGAGAGGCAGAGCAGCAGCAGGAGCAAGAGGCTGCTGCGGCTGCAGAGGCCACCTGAGCCGCAGCAGCAGCAAACCAGCAGCAAAGCCGCAGCTAGACCGTTCCTAGGCCAACTTCCCGAAATTGAAATGAACTGCAGTCAGCAGCAGCGCCAAAAAGCTCTGCATGCAGCTGCATGCAAGAAGACAAATAAACCCTGAGGGTTTCCCAGGGGGTTTTCTAAAGTCCAGCAATGCACTTCGGGCCGCAGCTGCTGCCCGCTGCAGCAGGACCATTCAAATGGCTCTTTTTGCCACATGCAGCTGCAGCAGCAGCAGCAGCAGCAGCAGACCCCTCTGGCCCCAGACTCTCTTCCTAGCCCGCCAAGAGGCATAAAAGAGCTCCACAGGGGCCCCTCCCCAGGGCCCCCAAAAGGGCCCTCTGGGGCCCCCTGGGGCCCCCTGGGGGCCCCCTGGAGCTCCCCCTTAAGCCGCTTTTCGCACCCTCTGACCCCTGGCCCACCCTGAGGCCCTTAGGGGCCCCCCGAGGCCCAGGAGCCCCCACACCCCAGGGGCCCCCCCTGTGGGGCCTGGGGCCCCCTGTGGGGCCCCCTGTGGGGCCCCCTGTGGGGCTCACCCCTGTGGGGCGTGGGCGCCCCCGAGGGGCCCCAGGGTTCAGTGGGGCTCCTCGTTTGCGGGTCTTTTGGGGCTGCAGAAGTCCGGGGGGCCCCCCGGGGCCTTTGCCGCGAAGGCCCTTTTCAAACAAGTCCGAACTTCGCGGCCAATTTCCCCACAAGCCGCTTCGCAGAGACTGAACAGCTGCGCGCATGCACGCGGTGTACGTACACCCCACGCACTGCAGCAGCAGCAGGAGCAGCAGCAGCAACAGCAGCAGAACCAACCCAGAGGCAGCAGGAACCCCAAGGGGCCCCAGGGGGCCCCAAAGGGCCCCCAGGGGCCCCCAGGGGGCCCCCATTCGTTGCGAATTACCTGTTCTCCGGAGGGCCCAGCGATGAGGGGCCCCCTGCAGTGGAGACAACAAATGGAGTTGAGGGCGGGACAGAAGCCAACGTGAATGGCGGTGAAGTCCGCGAAGTGTCTGTACACCGCGTACTCCTGCGGACCCCACAACGCCCCACGCGCTCTGCTGCAGCAGCAGCAGCAGCGGCAGCAGCAGCAGCGGCAGCAGCGGCAG